ACGGCTTTCTTGGAGCCCTTCTTGGGCGCAGACTTGGCGGGTTCAGGCATCCTGATGTGTTCCTAGAAACAGCAACGAATGAGCGGGAAGAGGAAGAGACCAGTGTTTTTATAGCGGCTGTATGTAAACGAGGCTGAGCTGTACCCTGCCTCTGATTGGTGCACAGGATGGGAGCGTTAGAGCAGCTCTGGGTGTGGGGGAAGGGAGCTTATTCATGTGTGAGAGAAAGGATGGATTGATCATAAATGTTTGACCAATTTCAGCTTAGAATTAGGGACAGTTTGTACCAAAATGAGGACATTTTTGCTGCGCCTTACTTCCTATCTCGACGGGTTTAGGACCAAGGTGTGAACTGAGTTTAGATTATATTGAGAACAGGAAGTTAAACACAAGGCTGCAGCCAAACTCAACACCCCATGGAAGGTCATCTGGCCCTTAAGGCCCCAAAAAGCACATCATATATAATAACATTTAGTGTTTTGTGTACAAAATGCCCCCTTTACACAATATTTAGATTGTGCACAGGCTACATCCATCACACTGATTTATATTGCCTGCCACTGACCTGTGGCAGGCCGTTTTAGCATTTTATTAGAAGTGCTGTCCGCTCTATTGTTATATTTATTGATCTCTAATATAAGATTCTTCCTGGTCAAAACTACATTCCCACTAGTCAGAACTGTACATATGGATATCCTAAATTACACTCTAACTTCAGGATGCCAAAAATATAATTGTAGTAATAAGAATAAACTTTCAAATACCTAGAAATACTTACAAATTTTAAGTGGCGCTTTTGACATTTATTAGCTTGACTGAATATGTAATCCAGATGTCTCAAATGCATTTCTTCCAAGTCGAAATGAACATTTCAGATATCTAAAATGTAATTCTTACTAGTACTAATGACATCATGTTTCCCATTCATGTGTATTGGGCTTATACTTACAGATATCTAAAATAACATTCTTCCCATCTAAAAATCTATTCCGACAAGGATAAATTCTAATTTCAGATCTCTATAATAGAGTTACTACTTGCCATATTTACTATTTTAGTTATCAAAAATTAATATAGCAGCCTAGATATTCTGATATCTAATTCTTGACATCAAAAAGATATTTCTGCCAGTTGAAATATAATTACAGATATGGACTGCTGATATGTGACTAGTTAAATTGCAAACTTCAGATATCTAAATTTTAGTAATGGCCTATCTAAAATTTTGTTTTAACATAGAAAAAGCAATTGGGGTTCAATTTTAACATAAAATAAGCAGGCTGACAGTAGCATTTCTATTATAGATAGCACTAAAGCATTGCACCTTGTCACAATAATAATGTTCCTAGTCAGAATTGTATTTTAGATATCACTAATCACATTTCTACCAGTAGAAATGACATTTTAAGTACTCTGGAATCAAATTTGTATTAGTAAGAACTACATTTCATAAATCTACAAATCTTTACTTATTTTAAGGGGCCTTTTTAACATATATTTGTTTTTATTTCAGTATCTTTAATAGTATTCCTCCTATGTAAAATAAACATTCTGGATGTCTGAAAATTAATTTCACGTCTACATAATCCAATTATTACTGGTTATAATTTTGATTTCAGATATCAAGAATCAATGACTAAAAATAGCATATATTACATAGTTTAATGTAGTTTACACATTTCTAACTGAAATAGAGTCTTTTCACACATTGTGCCAAGTTGTTATATGATCAATTCCTGTTTATAGGGAGCAAAACTATTGTTCACTGCTTGAGAGATTAAGTCTGGGATATCAGAATATTGTTCAGAAAACTGGTTCTGAACTGTAATCTGCTTCACATTCAACGTAGAGGGTTAAACTGTTAAGATAAGAGAACTTTATTGGAGATATTTACTTATAAACAGTAGGTGCACACATGAGGGAAAGGTGAATGAAAAATATACTATATACAGGTGGTAAAAAGTTATGAAAATCTCACTATACTGCATAGGTATTGTAGTTTATAGGATTACACACAGGGTATCTAATTTAAACTCCCGTTTCTGAAACGAATAATCCAATGACAAGAAGATACAGACGTCACTGGTTTTTAGAAAGTCAAAAACGACCTGGAGAAATAATTTGTTTTGAGCTCCTGCATTAATATTACTTTTTTATAGAGGAATAAATGTCTGAAAATGTATATGCCTGTATAAATACATCTAAGAATGTGGAACATGTCTCAAGAAAGATGGGTGGCTCTTAAAAGAGCCGTTGTTTTTATGGTTGAAGCGGTTTGAATTTAACCTCCGAAGCCGTAGAGAGTGCGGCCCTGCCTCTTCAGAGCATACACCACATCCATGGCCGTCACAGTCTTCCTCTTAGCGTGCTCGGTGTAGGTGACTGCGTCACGGATAACGTTCTCCAAGAAGACCTTGAGGACACCGCGGGTCTCTTCGTAGATGAGACCGGAGATGCGCTTGACTCCACCGCGGCGAGCCAAACGGCGGATGGCGGGTTTAGTGATTCCCTGGATGTTATCACGGAGGACTTTGCGGTGACGCTTAGCGCCTCCTTTCCCCAGTCCTTTGCCTCCCTTGCCTCGTCCGCTCATGTTGCTTCTGCTGAGTTCACAGAAAGAATAAACTCAACTCTGCTAAGAGCCTCCCTATTTAAACACATCTCACGGACGTAAGAGGGGACTGCTAACCCCCTCTTCCGCCTTTAGGGTTGTGACCACATCCGCATTTAAAACAAGTGGAAATACACTTCAAGAGAAACTCACAAAATAAACACATAATTACATATTTTATTCCAGATAATATAGGATCAAACAACGTTTAGTCAATTTTACCACTGAATCGAAATGATTGTAGGTGCCTAAAAATACACAAAATCCTTATAAATGCATTTGGTCAAAGAGAAACCTAAAACCATCCTTGGTTTTAATAGATTTAGAACCATCAGATTTATAAAGAAATCTGTTGCATTGAGTCATTTAAAACATTTGAGGCTCATATGGGGTTGAGTTATTTGATGTCTGGTCAGGTTTAGTAATAAAGTCAGTGGTTTATGTAGGGACGCTACTTTTCTTTTTTAGGGATATAATTATAGAGATTTGAATCAGACAGTTTAGGGCGAATGTATACAATCACGTTTCTCTTTTGTCTGTACTAGATGGAGTCATGTCAAGCAATCATTCCACCTTGATCTAAAAAAAAAAATAAAATACATAAAGACACTCTTAAGATTTGAGTTTCCGACTCATTTAAAACTTTTACTCGGATGGGCTTGAATCATCTAGTGTCTAGTCAGGTTTAGTAAGTACTCTATAGCGTTCTCGAGATTTGGTTACTTTATTTTAATTAAGTCTTATGTCTAGGAACCTTTTGTTTTTATCCCCAGAACAAGAGTAAAATATGTCACGTTTTAACAGAAATGTGCTCTTGAGAAAGATGTGGGTGGCTCTTAAAAGAGCCGTTGTGTTTGATGTGAAGTCCAGCAGTTTTACTTCTTTGCGGGCTTCTCGGTTTTCTTGGGCAGCAGAACAGCCTGGATGTTGGGGAGAACTCCACCCTGAGCGATGGTGACTCCACCAAGCAGCTTGTTGAGCTCCTCGTCGTTGCGGACAGCCAGCTGCAGATGGCGGGGGATGATCCTGGTTTTCTTGTTGTCACGGGCAGCGTTTCCAGCCAGCTCCAGGATCTCAGCAGTGAGATACTCGAGCACTGCGGCCAGATAAACTGGAGCTCCGGCGCCGACGCGTTCAGCGTAGTTGCCCTTCCTCAGCAGCCTGTGAACACGGCCGACGGGAAACTGCAGCCCAGCTCTGGATGAGCGGGTCTTGGCCTTAGCCCTGGCTTTGCCTCCGGTCTTTCCACGTCCAGACATTGTTTCTGTTCAGGAGTTACTTCACAAGTGTCTGAACAGCGACGCATCGGGAGTTTATATAAGCCTATCGTAGCTCAAAAGCTCACTGATTGGTCGCATACAGCAACAAACCCCTTCGTCCAATCAAAACATCTGACGTTTAAGCGCGAAACTACGTGCCCTATAATTCATCCAGGATGCTTTTAGTTTATTCATTTTACTTAAAAAAAAAAAAACTAAAATATTGGAACTGTAACTTTACAGTCATTTGTTTACATCACTTTTTTTTAATCACAATGGTTTTATCACTGCTGCTTTCCTGCACTTTAAAAATGAAATAGTCTAGACTCTAGAGATCTATACTTAACAGAATTTCTTTCTGTATATACTTGTGTATACAAAATGACTAAATAGAATCTTATCTTTTATACGTCTTTAGTCAATGTTTTCATTTAAAAAAAAGTCAAAACAAAGTAATAAACATCGATACACAGAGTTGGAGTGTCCACAGAAATATGCCTGTCCCTCAAAAGTATTGTGCTGCTGTCCGTTTCTATTTAATGCTTTTCAATACACTTTGTGTACAAAATAAAGCCTGTAAGTCAAAATAAATGTATACATGACCAGTGAGAATCACATTTGAGTTACATTTCGGAAACTATATGCAGACATTACAATATAGAGGGAAAGAATAATAAAGTTAACTCAGATAAATGGTAAATAGCTTCAAGATTGTTCAGCACAGGTGTAGGGGGCGGGGTGGATAGAACAAAGCACGGTACAAAAGGCGGGAATGGTGCCTGCTGCTCTTATAAATAGTGGTGTTTCTAAGCTGTTGTCAGAGATGGCTGTGATCAACGCACAAATCAGTGAGCTCATCAGGAGTCTGCGAAAGAAAGGCTGGACGACTTTGGCCATCGCCAAACATCTGCAGACGAGTGGGATTCAACCTTCAATGGGCACTATTCGGCGTCATTGCCGTGGTTCTCCTGCGAAGAAGCAAATCAGAAAGCCACGAAAACTGACCAGTCAGGTGTTGGGAATAATTGACACAATCCTGAAACAAGATGACGAGTTGCCGGCAAGGAAAGTGAGAGCGCTTCTACAACGAAGGCACAACATTACAATGGGGTTATGCACAGTGAGAAAGGCCCTGAGGGAACTTGGCTGTAGTTTTGGGAAGCCCGGATTTACTCCAATGACCCAGGAAAAAAACAAAGAACTGCGTCTACGTCAAGCTGAAGAATGGAAGGCTGCTGGCGAAAAGTTTGACAATGTGTTCTTCACTGACGAGTCAACTGTGGCATTGGAACGTTTTGCTTTGCAGCACCGAAGAAAGACTACCTCTAGGGGCATGCCAAAACCTAGAGTGAAACACCCAGTCAAACTGCACGTCTGGGGCGGAATCTCCCGTTCTGGCCCTGGCCCGCTTCTCATTTTTGATGGTATTATGGATCAACACTTTTATGCGGAAGAGATCATCAAAAAAGTTGCGGGTCCGTACTTGAGAGAGCGTTTCTACATGTCTACACATCGTTTTTTCCAAGACAACGATCCCAAACACACGGCTACCATTGCAAGAGCCTGCATCCAGAGTGAGGGGATTAACTGGGTGCCAACACCAACTGAGTCACCGGATCTCAACCCCATCAAGTTAGCCTGGGCTGCGATGAAACGATACATTCGCTGCGAGGCCAAACCCAAGAGCAGGGACGAACTGATCTCTGCTATAGAGTCATTTTGGAGGAACAAACTCACCAGAACGGACTGTAATAAATACATAGATCACCTGGACAATGTAATCGATGAGGTCATAGCCTTAAATGGAGCAGCGACTGGCATGTAATATTCCCAGGGCCAAGAGATACATGTCATTTGCTACCAGTAATACATTGATTTGAGTTGAGCTGTATGTTTTTTTTCCCACAAACTGCTACTTTACTACATGTCTGCTGTAAATAAATGCAATACAGAAAGTCTTAATTTATTGTTTTTTTTACTGAAATCTTGACAGTTCATCTAATGTAGATATTAAATGTTGATGCCACAGCATCTCTTTACATTTGTTAAATTTTATGTCTTTCCAGTTATTTTTTAGCATTTAAAATCAAAAGAATATTTGATGTGTACATTTTTCTGTATTAAATAGCTATGTAGGGAAAAGTTGTTTTTACATCCAAGGCCAATTTAACATTTTTTGTGAAGATTTAATTACAAAATAGGAAGCTGCTCTATTTTACAATCACATAAAAGTAAATGTCATGTTGTAGACAAATGCATTTGGGGTATTATATAGGGTGCAGAATAAAATGCTTTATCTAATTCTGGGGCCATCAACCTTTTAAGGCTTAGAGCTACTTCATGGGTCCTCAAAGGGCTTACAATACTAAACAAAGAATTGGAGGAGTCAGCGTTCACCTAAACTTCATAGATGCTAAAAATATTTTTGTTCTTTCTTTTAATTTCAATTTATTTTTAAATATTGTAATTTTGCAAACTCTATAAATGCTTAAATGCTCTATATGATTAATATGATGACATGCTCTATAGATGACTAAAACCCCATGTAAAATAAATTCAGGAGAGTTAAGCAAACCAGAAGCATAGCAGATTGTTTTAAAAGATTCAATTCAGCTCAGTTTATTTCTATAGCGCCGATTCACAACACGTCATCTCAAGACTCTTTCCAGTTCAACAGATCATCCAGTCAGGTTGATTCAAAGTTTTCTATCTAAGGAAAACCAGTTGATTGCATCGACTCATTGACTCTCACATCAAGCATGCTTGTAGCAACAGTGGAGAGGAAAAGCTCCCTTTGAACAGGAAGAAACCTCCAGCAGAACCAGGCTCAGTGTGAGCGGCCATCTTGTGAGGCTACTAAAGCTACTATGAGAAAAAGCAGAGAGAGCAGAACGTTAGAGATTGAACTAATAAACACTGCAGAGTGGGAGATGCATTTTGTGTTATCATATGGATTTAACTTGTAACTTGGCAGAACAGATCTGTACCAAAAATAAATGGGGAGTAGATTATCAGTAAATATCCGTCACGTCTTTGATTTTTAGTAAGGAACTGCCATAATTCCTTAAATATTGCTCATATACATAAATAAACTTTACATTTCACAGTTTCAAGATTTTATTTTTGTCCGTTAAATTTCGTGAGAGAACAATACTATTCCTAGAGATCACCCAAAGGAATATGATTGATATTTTTTTTTTTATTGTAGCCGTTAAAACCAGTAAATCACATGAATTCCGAGGTTTTTCTTTAACGCTGCAGTCACCGGTGAGTTTTATTTTGAAAATCCATAACGGAAGCTGCTTCCATGAGGAGTTTCCGGTGATGTTTGTTATCAAATAAGATATGGAATCCGCCGAAAATCTTCCCGTTATCACATCATGTGAGTGTTTTTCTGTTTTACCTCGATGTTACGCTGCAGTAGGGAGGCAAAGAACTGCTCTGATAAACCAACTAAAACTAATGAGGTTAGATAAAAGTCTCCATTGTTGTTACGCAGCTAGATTAAACGTTGCTAACGTCCTGAAACGAAACTAAGACCAGTTTGATGTCTGCCATAGTTTTCTGTCGTGTTTACTTTAATAACAACTGTTTTTCTCTAAGAGAAGGTCATTAAACAATCGGAGGTATTTAGGTCAAGTTTTAGTTTTACTGTTTCCTGTAAATTTAACGTTCATAATCGCCAACAGGAAGTTAAATGTGTGGAAAAAAGAGCAAAACTAAACGAAGATGACTCATCAGTAATGAAAGATGATCCTGAACTATAATCAAATCCCAAACAATTAGATGAAAATAATATAACAGATGTTCCTTGACCCTCCTGATATGTGTTTGAGGGGGTATTCTTAAATTATTTTAGCTCTTTAATATTGCGTGTAATGAACATCACATCAGACTGATGCGTTTAATCCAATTCAATTTATTTCTATAGCGTCAATTCAACCAGATCATCCAGTCAGACTGATTCAAAGTTTTCTATCTAAGGAAAAACAGCTGATTGCATCGACTCATTGACTCTTCAGCAATCCCTCACACTAAGCATGCTTGTAGCGACAGTGGAGAGGAAAAACTCCCTTTGAACAGGAAGAAACCTCCAGCAGAATCAGGCTCAGTGTGAGCGGCCATCTGCTGAGGCCCACTGGGGTTCAAGGAGACAGAAGCAGACATAGAAAAAGAAGCATAGATACAAAAGGCAACTGTCAACCAGCTCCACAGGCGGCCCCGTCCAGGAAACACACAGCCAGGCAGACGAGCTCCGAGCCAGCTCCCATGTCAGAGGATGAAGAGAGCACATCCAGTTAGTCACAGTCAGAGAAACAGGACTACACTGGAAAACAGGCCAAGCTCCAACATCTAGAAACAAAGGTGTTGATGGCAGCAGCACAGCTGATATTTCTCTCCAGGATGGAGTCACAGCCAAACAGGAACAGACCAGATGAAGCTACTATGAGAAAAAGCAGAGAGAGCAGAACGTTAGAGATTGAACTAACAGATTCTGCAGAGTGGGAGAATAGAGATAGAATGAGGCATCATTCAAGTTGATGAACAGTTTGTTTATCTATAGTGGGACTATTCCTGAATTCCTGCTGGTATGAAGTTGATCAGGATGAGTTTCTACATCTTACTGCAGACTCAGCATCTCTGTTCTGGTTTAGAGCCTCTTTCCAGATTGATTTAAATACTTTTTAGTCACTCTAGAAGTTTGCTTTGACTTTTATGTCACTTTCTTTAAATCTGTTCTTAACTCTAATCTTTTCGCTTTGACCTCTGGCTTATTCTGTGGTTTTAAAGGTGTTTTAATAAATAATTTAACATGCAAACAATATTAAACCAGACTTACAGATTATTTCTAAATATTCTGAATTTCAGGTTTCCAACACTAATCTTCCTGCTTGTATTTTAAGCTTTGAATTGTCGTTTCTGCAGCTTTTAAAGCATATTACTGCTGTAAATTATTTAATGACTTCCTAGCATAAAGCACAAGCGTTTGTTTGACTACACCTGAGTGAAGCTTGGTGTCGGTCTGTGCCAGCACTGATTTAGCAGCGTCGCTTTCTGTTTGTGTGGACTGAGGTCATGTGAGGTCGGCTTTCTCTCTTCTGCAGCATGAAGCTGCGGGTTCGGATCAACCGGCAGACCAGTAGGGTGGAGTTACCGGGGGAGGAACCCACTTTGCAGGAACTCTCAGACCTCATCAAGCAGACTCTGCTGTCCTGCAATGGACACAGGTCAGACTGTTCTTATTCCAGTTACAGACGCCTACAGTTGAACCTCTCTGGGCGGATTTAAATCTTTCTGTTCTACTGTCTCCATTCAGTGCCGACACAGAGTTCAGTTTGTCTCTGAACGGCTCAGAGCTCCTCTCAGAATCCGATCAGACTCTCTCAGCGTGTGGAATCGTTTCTGGGGATCTGATCACCGTGCTTCTGCCGCAGCCTCCTCCAGGCGCCATGGCAACCTCAGAAAAGAACACAATGGCAGACAGACAGGAGGCTGCCAGTGGGACCACCAGCCAGGTGAGATTTAATCTGTTGGGTATGTGGAGAGCCACCCTCTGGTGTCAACCCAGATAGGACTCCCTCCTGCGTGTTTAATACCGGTTTAACATGAGAAAGCCCACATGTGATTACAGTTTATAAACAGCCTGGGAAATATGAGGGAAACCACGGCAACCTCGTCTAGGAGGGATTTTGTTACATGTCTTCCAGTCTTTCAGGTTCTGTCTTTTTCTTTTCCAGCTGAAAATCAACTGTAAATACAGCAGCCTGAAGTGACCCATATGCGACCTGTATCTGATTTTTTTTCATGACAGTCTGAACAACACATATCCAATTTTTCTCCAATGCAACCCATATTTAGTCCTAAATCCGATACGTATCGGATCTTTTTTCAAATGCGACGTGTGTCTGAACGGCCAGGTGGCATTCATCCGAACTGTCGAATGACTGAAAGGTCGCTATGCAGCATCTTTCTATACAGAAGCAGGGAGAAGAACAACAGCCATTGCAGACAATAATGTGGAGAGCAGTTTTCCTTCTCAATCTCCTCGAAAAGATTTAGTTATTTATGCGCCGGATCCAGTTGGAAAAGAAATGAAAGATTATGCTGATGAAGATTCTCAGTCATCCAGGTCATAGTCATTCTGTAAAAGTTTAAAAAACAATCCTCTGGACTTGGTTTCCAAGATTTGAAGACGTTTTGCTTCCTCTCCAGGAAGCTTTCTCAATTCACATTTGACTCAAACTCACTGCAGATCCAGACATTTGAATTGAGAAAGCTTCCTGAAACCAAGTCCAGCGGATTGTTTTTTAAACTTTTACAAAATGAAAGATACATAGATGTGCCCCAGTAGTACCAACCATTTTTGGGGAAAAAATGGATTCGGCGATATATTGTGATTTTTTAGCTTGCCAATAATATCGATGTTCAGTTCCTTATATCAATCTGAAGGCTACCGCTGCACCGCCATTTTGGAAGATGGAGGCGTGAAGCCCTTTTGCTGTGCAGATTAGCACCATTCCTCTAGATGAGGCAGCAACAGTGGAAGACTGACGTAAAACTCCAGACAACATGGATTCTGATTAACATAAACAGCACTTGCCTTTTTATCTTTACATTTCATTTTGATAGCTGGGAAATACATTGCAATATATAGTGATATTACATTATCTTGATAATATCCGCACCATGACCCAAATATCGTGACATGTATCGTATCACAACACCCATGCCGATCCTCACCCCCAGTGAACCCAGAGCACACTCAAGTCGCATATATTTGGAAATGTGAACGACCACGCAAAACAATCGGATTTTACAAAAAAAAAGGGTTTTGAGCATTAAGGCCTGCGGTTTGAACGTAGCTTTTGGCTGCATGTTGAGGTTAATTATCTTCCATCAGAATGTGATCCAGATTGGCTCTGATTATTTCTCCAATTTTCCTCCTTCAGTTATTTGGAGTCACTAAAGAATGGTGGTATACAACGTTCATCTTCTGGACCTGATCAGCATCTGTCCGGCTAAATTGGGGCTATACAGTTTGTTGGAAAAAATTATAGTTAAAGCTGAGAAAATTTTTTCTTCTAAAGAAAAACATTTAAACATGAAAGAAAAGTTTTGTGTCGCAGTGAGTTTGTGGCAGATATTTTTGATTTCTGACCAATGTTAAAGTGTGGTCTGCGCTATGTTATTCCACGCCAAAATGCCAGAGGGCCAATCAGGAACTAGCTGTGGATCTATGGCCGAGACGGTGAGGAAGTGGGGGCTAGTTTGTGCGACAATGGAGGGACATGAGGGCCAAAAAGAGCGGGGATCCAGGTGGAAAAAGGGTCCCAGCGTTCTCACCTCGCTTTGCTAGCTGCTCCATCTTCACCAGTCGTTTTCCACAATGGCGGTCAGACAAACAAAACAAGCTGCTAAGGTACTAAACAGGAAATACGAATAGTGTAGAGTGGATGTAAATTTGACCAATCAGAGACCTCCTGTCTGCAGCACTGTTTGCAGTCACCTACAATTTTGGAAAAGTGCAGCGGAGCATCTGCCGAAAGGGGCGGGGCATATCTGCGTTAACTGCGACACATGCAGATCACCTGGTTTCTGAGCATAAACCAGCTTTAAATTGGAGCCATACAGTTTGTTAAAATAATTATAGTAAACCTGAGAAAATAGTTTCAATCACCTGAAAAAAGAAAAACATTTAAACACGTAAAAAAATTTTGTTACAAAAAAAAAACATTTATACCTGCAAAATAAAAGGTTATTTGCAAAGAAAATTATAATATTTTTTTTTTCAGAAGGAATTTGTTCAGTTTGCAACTTGGACCTGGAAATGTCTTTAAGAGATCATTAATATTCTGTGAAAGCAAACTTTTTTTAGGTATCTATTTCTCTCTTTAGTATGAGAGAGAGATTTTTTTGTTTGTTTTTTAAGAACAAACTATTGTTGTTGTTTTTTATTTTTATTTTATAGACCGAATTTATCTCCATAATCATCCTAGACAAAACTAAAACAACTTTAAGGATACTTTAAAGCATCCTTAAACACTCTCTCCTTCCCCCGGCCCACTTATAGTCCAGCTAGCATTCACAGTGTAGTGAAACTAGTATTTATAATAAACTATAAAGTGCCATAAAGTTTGGAGTGGTGAAGACACCCAGAGTTATAAATTTCAGTCTAATCTGGCCTGGCTGTATTCATACAGTTTTTTATTTGTCAAAATGAAGTTCATCTCCTCTGTGGCTTCATGGAGCGAGGATGTTCTTTCCACCTCCAGTTTTTTTTTTTTCAGAGTCCTGAGTAATAACGTCTCGGTTTTCACCTGAAACTGCAGTAAAATAAAAGCTGTCGTTCAGTGAAGCATTCAGGTGAATTCTAATCAATAGAAAGTCTGGAATCATCAGTTTTAGGTTCCGGAAAAACAGAAACTCTTTCCTTTTCATCCCCCTGCATCATCCTTTTCTTTTTTGAATTATTATTCTTTTTATTTAAAAAAATAGAACATAAATATTTTCCACACTTTCAGTTGGACGGATAACTTTGAATGAAGAGGACATTCAGTCTGAACCAGATTCAGCTTATTTTCTCCATTTACTGGTGTTTTTTGTTCCTGTTCAGCCACAGAGCAGCAGCAGTGGGGGCAGCACCTCTGCACCGCCGACGGCCCCCCCGCAGACCTCTGACCTGCAGGACTTTGAAGCGGCCCCTCCAGTCTGGGAGCCCATGCTGTGCGGCGAGGCAGAGGACGGTGAAGCCCCTCTCTCTCTGGAGCTCCTCTACCACACGGCTCAGGTCGCCTGTCCTAACGACGCCATCATGGTGGCGGCGCATCTCCTCATGCTGGAGACTGGGTTCACTCCTCAGGTGAGGCAGTGGTACAAGGATGTTTCTGTTTACCTCTGCAGGTGAATCACGCCTCATTTCTGTGTCCAGGGCAGCGAGCTGAAGCCTGGGGAGATGCCTGCAGGATGGAGGTCTGCAGGTGGAGTTTATAGGCTGCAGTACAATCATCATCTATGTGGAGACAGTCTTGTGTCTGTGGTGGCTGTGGGAATGGGCCCGCTGCTCGTCATTAATGGTAAATTCTGTCTCCTCCTTCAGTTCATAGGAATCTGTTTTAATTAACCGTTTATACCGACTCGGTTTTTTAAATCTGTCTCTTTTTACCTTTTCTTTGGTTGCAGTTGTTCTAAAAGTGACTGAAAGCATCGACACAACTAGAAAGCTACAGCTGAACCCATCCAGCTACGTGACTCACGAGTGGCCAGGTACAGCTGTGATTGGCTGCTTTAAAGAGGCCACAGTCCAACCGTCTGTCTGTGTTTAACCTTCTCTGCTTTCACCCAGGAGAAAACGCAGCTGCGGCCTTCAAGGATCTAAAGAAACTTTCCCGCATCCTCAAAGACCAGCTGGCGTACCCGCTGATCGCTGCAGCTAGAGAAGGTAACCGAGTCAAAAACCAAAACTGAACTCTGGATTTACCGAAGCTAAGCAGTCGGAGAGGAGTCAGGGTGCAAAGTGACGGTGGTGGTATGTTTTCTCAGCCATGGCTCTGCCAGTGGTGTTCGGTCTGCAGGCTCTCCCTCCTGAGCTCCTCCTCCGGGTCCTGCGGCTGTTGGACGTCCGCTCCGTGGTAAGACTGTCAGCGGCCAGCTGGCAGTTCAACGCCGCCGCGTCAGACTCCACGCTCTGGAAACACCTTTACCTTCGGGACTTCTCAAGTAAGAGCCCATAAACCAGAACCTTCAACTAAAACTGTAGTTTTTTAGCTCTTTAGTTGGGAATAAAACTCCAGAGTTGTTTCCTTCTGGAAAAAAATCTGTTTGTCCAACAATCATTATAAATCATAGCAGAGTTTACAGTTTCAGTTCTAAAGTTTTGATAGATAAGATGATGGTTGGTTTTAAATCCTACCTCAGATACTTTAAGGAAGGAATAGGAATTAATTTCATTTATTTAAGGCTAAAATTAAAATAAAAAAATATTATTTTTTTTAATCCCTCATTCTCTTTTATAAAATGTGTTTATTTTCTGAATCAAAACATCAATAAAAGTACTTTTGCTAAATTATTTTATGTGCAAAAAAACATCTTTCAGCCATTATTTGTTTTAATTTATTGTTTTTTTATGTTTTTATTTTCAGATCCAGATCGCAGCCGATCCAGAGACACCGACTGGAAACAGGTGAGAAACTCTGCAGCAACATTTCTTCACACTGACATTTAAACCCTTTAATTCTTCTGACATTTTAATCCTATATTGGGAGTTTTGTTGAAGTGTGAAAAGCTTGGAGGAGAAATTATAGAGTCTATTTGTTCAAATCTCACCTTTAAAACTATTTAATTTCCATATCTTTACAGGTTAAAATACTTTTATGAATTGCTCTCATTAATGTCTAATGTTTTTTCTCTCCATTGCAATTATATAATTTAGTCTCGTCATTATATCAGCCGCTATAAATATTGAATCAAAATGTTAAATAACTTCAGCTTTTAAGAAACTTTATATTCATTGATACAGAAAGATTTAATTTAAAAATAAAATTAATGCTATATTACTTTTGATATTTTTATCTTTAGTATGGCCAATAACTGATTTCATATTCATAGGTGTTTTCAAATTGATAGCCACCAGGGGGCACTAGAGGGAGCCTCAGAAAAGATTTTGCAAAAAATGACATTATTTTATAGATAATTTAATACTTTTTAAATAGTTAATATATAGCTTAAAAAATATTATATTTATATGACAAACTAAGGGGATTTCAATCTGAACTGTTAGTCATTCAGATAAAAAATAGACATGATCAGACAGACATTAAGCCCAGACCATCCCACCCCACCTAAACGCACCTTTAAAAGAGATTTGCTGCATTTGTTTTCTTCTTAAAGTCAAGACTTTGTTGGAAAGTTTTTAACTGTGAGGGAGTCTGATACACCGCTGAGAACATGACCTTATCCTAACGTTCGCTGGTATTTTTATGATAAACAACTGATGTATATTGAACAGTAAGAAAAAAAATTTCTAGAAGTAGATTTTTCTATGCTGGTGAAGATTCTAAGTCATCCAGGTCACAGTCATTCCTAAAAAGGTTAAAAAACAATCCACTGGTTTTATAAAGTAGCCCATCAAACCCTTGTTTCTGTATTGAAAACATCCAAATTAAACCGATTAACAGGTCCACCCCTTTGGAAAGGGGGGTCGTTTGGCTTCTTGTTTTAGCCTGCAGTGCCCCATACCTGTCTATGTCTCTGAACGGGGGTTGTTAAAGGGAATTGTTTACCTGGCTGAATAGGCGAGGTCTTCTGCTCTCCTGTACAGGGGTTGGGGTAGCGATCATGGCGGGAAGGGATCAA